ACCCAAGCCCACCTTTTCCCTATAGCTTCTCCTGTGTTCCCAACCTTGGGAGTGATACCACCATCAATCCAACTGTCTATCCCCAAACCTGGGAGTCCTCCTAGTCTCCCCAACCTCTCCTCCTGTAGTTCATCAGTCTCCACTGGACACTTAGCACATTGTGTGTCCTTGTCTGGTTACAATTGTATGTGTCACCTTCTGGCCTGTGATCCATGAGTTTTAGGGGCCGTGGCTCCATTATCCCCACTGTATCCTCAGAGCCTAGGCTAATACTTGATAAATGTATGAATTAATGAAGAAGTGAATGTTGAGGAGGAATCCGGCCCCGAGACAGAATTGTAAGTTACAAGAGAAGCGGCGTGTCGCCAGCCTGCCCTTTCTGCAGGGCTCTCTCCCGGCCCCCTGGGCTGCCACCTCCTGTCGGGGGCAGCAGCAGCTAGAGCTGATGAGCGCTCCTGGGACTGGATGTCTGGCAAGGTCCTACCTCTGTCAGTTTCTGGGACTCTACCCTTTATGTGCAGCCGGCCGAAGGGAATACTGTGAGGCGTTAGCATTAAGCACACAGACAGACACGCAGGAGGGCGCCTCGCCGGCTTGGGACGGGCCACCTCCCCTGCCTGCCCCACTGCAGAGCTACTAAGGCAACAGGGTACATGTCCGGGCTTCCTGGAATCAAAGAATGTGAGCACTGGAAGGTGGTGTAGACCTCAAGATTTCAACAATTACAGAGGAAACAGCATCCCTGTCATGAGGGATTCATGTGGCCTGAGGTGTGACCTGACCTTCAGGGTTGGAGTCCCCACGGGGGGGGCACAACCTATCCCTGAGCCTGGGCCCACAACCCACACACACGCCAGAGGGACTTTGTCTCTGTGTCTGCCCCGTATGCAGTCACTTGGCGAAGAGAGAAAACTGTAGTGACAGCTGGACCGTGGTTAACTTGTGGTGTGTGGCGATGCCAGGGGAGCAGGGGTTCTCAGTGAAAATGAGATTTCTGGAGAATGCCGAGAGCCCGTAGAGACATTTGGATATCTACCAGCTCAATTTATGAAACTCCGTTCTTCCTCCTTAAAATGTCAAGCAATTAAAATGCTTAGACATCATCACGAGACCCTCCACCCAAGGGGAGAATCTCCCCGACACCTCCTCTGGTTGTCTGTGCCCCGGAATGGGACTCGGGGGTCCTCATTACAGAGCCCATACCTACAGGGCTGCCCTGGGCCCTCCCTACACATTCCTCTGAACTCAGGTCCCACATGCAGAGTGAGGGGACCCTCCGAGGGGGTCACTCTGATGCTTCCATTTTGACATGAGGTTGTCTTGATTGGACCTGAAAAACAAACCATGGCAGTTCAACTTTTTTTGGACCAACTAGTGTTTAAAACAGACCCCTTTTACTCCTTCCTCCAAGTCTCATCTTGGACATGGGGCTCTCATGTGGTATAATAGGGGCTTAGAGCTGGAGAGGGGTCAGGGATGGGATGAGAGTCAGAGAAGAGTGTCTGGAAACAGGGGTGCTCAGAAATGGGTGGGTGTTATAAGTAGGATTTTGTCCCCCAAAATAAGATTAAGTCCTAACCCCCAGAACCTGTGAATATGACCTTAATTGGAAATAGGTGTAATCAAGTTAAGGTGAAGTCTTGGCAGGTGTAATCAAGTTAAGATGAGGTCATAAGGGTTGGCCTAATCCAAAATGACTAGCCATAAAAAGAAACGAAATTGAGTTATTTGTAGTGAGGTGGATGGACCTAGAGTCTGTCATACAGAGTGAAGTAAGTCAGAAAGAGAAAAACAAATACCGTATGCTAACACATATATATGGAGGCTAAACAAAAAATGGTTCTGAAGAACCTAGGGGCAGGACAGGAATAAAGACGCAGACGTAGAGAATGGACTTGAGGACACGGGGAGGGGGAAGGGTAAGCTGGGATGAAGTGAGATAGTGGCATGGACATATATACACTACGAAATGTAAAACAGATAGCTAGTGGGAAGCAGCCGCATAGCACAGGGAGATCAGGTCGGTGCTTTGTGACCACCCAGAGGGGTGGGATAAGGAGGGTGGGAGGGAGACTCAAGAGGGAGGGGATATGGGGATATATGTATACATATATCTGATTCACTTTGTTATACAGCCGAAACTAACACAACATTGTAAAGCAATTATACTTTCTTTCAATAAAGATGTTGAAAAAAAAATGACTGGTGTCCTTAGGAAAAGAAGAAAATGCCTCATGAAGACGGAGGCACGTGGGGAGAGGACCATGTGGAGATGGAGGCGGAGATGGGGCGATGCTTTATAAGCCAAGGAACGCCAACAAATTGCCGGAAGCTGGTGGTGACCTGGAACAGCCTCCCTCACAGCCTCAGGAGGAACCAGCCCTCCCGACACCTTGATTTTGAACTTCTGGCCTCCAGAACTGCAAGAGAAGGTTTTTGTTGTTTTAAGTCACCCGGTTGATGGTACTTTATTACAGCAGCCCCATCAAACTCATACTGTGGGCGAGAGAGATGCTGGCGTCTCCAAGGACCCCTCAGGCCAGGTTTCTCAAGCCTGAGCTGCAGCAGGAGGGCTTGTTAGGACACTGAGCACTGGGCCCCTCCCCCAGGCCAGCCGGTTCAGCAGGTCTGCCGCGTGGCCCAAGAATGTGCATTTCTAACAAGTCTCCAGGTGGTGGTGACACTGCTTTTCCAGGGACCACACTTCAAGAACTCCTGCTCTAGGGGCCTGGGTGTGGCCTGGGCATTGGGACCTTCTGGTCCCGGTAATGATGAGATGTCTATCCCTGCTGATATGAGTTGTGCCAGCCCACTTGGCAAACTTCCGTAGCCACAGCCAGTTTTCATTTAAATGCTTTCTGTAGTTTTGAGTGGTTTACACAGGTGCTGGTTCATGAAACAGCACCTCCACTACACACACACTGACCCCATGTGGTAGATGTTATAGTCCCTATTGTTACAGACAAGGAAAATGAGGCTCAGGCGTGGGTGTGAATCCTCAGCAGGACGCTTCTCCCTCCTGAGTCCCTGAGCTCGGGCGTCTGCGCTCTGAGCCCGGCTCTGGAACATCCCTGGCTGGTTCAGTCCTCAGAATTCAGATTTCCCTCTTTGTAAGTCACACCCATCATCGCCTTGTCTGAATACAGAGCCATCACCCTCCTCCTGCGGCAGTGCTGGAAGCCGGCAGTGCACGGGGCCTCGGCTTTCCCCGACCCATTGTTGCTGCTTCCGGCCGGAGCTCACGATCTCGTCCTCTTTCCTGATCCTGTTTTGTTCCCAAATGCCCTCCGGATGTGACTTCCTCCTTTCTGTTTCCAGGTGCTCAGCACAAACCAGCCCCAAGCAGCTTTGGATGTGAGGAGCCTGGCGTGCAGCGAGGACAGGTGATGAGAAATGCTTGGGAGGATGGCCAAGAAGGATTTGTAATGTCCGGAGTCAGACAGGTCTGCAGCCCTGCTGGCCTGGCCGCTCTCCACGGAGGAAGCCCCTGGCTGTGAGGGCAGCAAACTGCAGGCTGGCCAGGCCCTCTCTTGCCACCTCCATGCCCTTTGATGAGGGCTGGGTTAGTGCAAACAGGGTGTGTGAGCTTTTCACCCCAGCCAGGTGTGGACATGAGCTGTGGGCTCCTGTGAGAGGTACTCAGGGTGCAGAGATGGTCCTTTCAGCTGAGGTTCTGCACCTTCAATCCACAGGCCCCAAGAGCAGACTTGCAAATTCTTCCAGCCTTTAAACACCAGTCCTGCCCCAGCCGCAGGCAGGAAGCACCCTCCACCACGAGCACCACGTCCCCAGGATCGATGTTCAGTGCTGGGACCTGTCTGGCCACAGGAGCCACAGCTCCGTGTCTGTGGGTCACTCTGGAGCTGAGTGTCCTCCCTGCCCCGAGCCCAGCGGAGCCAGAGTCGGGGGCAGGATGGAAGAGAAGCGCGCCCAGAGCCTCGACGTGAGCCCCTGAGAGCCTCTCCTGGGACACAGCAAGCTCATCAGCTCAAACCAGCGAGGGCGGACTGAGCACCAGCTCCCGCCCCAGGAGTAACATAGACTGTGATGCGGGGGGCTGAGAGGAGGAGGCCGTGCCCCGGACGTCTCAGGAGCTGACAGTCTGGTGCCCCGTGAGACAGCCCCCTCTCAGGAGAGCCACCGTGAAGCTCTGCGCACGAGAGTCAAGTGCCCCAAACTTGGAACTTGGGAGGTGGAAGCAGCTGATCATCTGGAGCAGAAGGAGGCCACTGTTGGTCAGGGACCAGGGACGACCTCAGGGGGGACCCATCTGGAGCCAGAGCTTTGGGATAGGGGGCAAGGGGGCGCTGCGGAGGCCGTGAGCATGTTGCTTTGGGCCCGTGCCGCAGAGACAGACGTCACGCTGGCCCTGGTGCTCCCCGCACATTGGCAGGGAAACGCGTGTTTTATTTTACAGAACTCAAAATCGCCCAAGTGGAAACGCTCTGTGCCTTGTTTTAAACTCAAGAAAGCGCCGGAAAGGTTTGTTTTGACCAAATGGAAACAACACTCCCATGGATAAGCACTTTCTGACACACACAAAACAAATGAAAAGCTAGTGCCCACTTTCCTGACTTTCTCCCCCAGCGATGTCCCCAGTCACGCATTGTCATAAGGGGCTTGGGACTAGATTCAGACTCTTCCTACAAAAGTGCACAACGCCCAGTCCCCTCACCCCACTCCCCCAACGCCAGAGGCGGCTGGGCCAATAACTTGGAGTCAAGTGCGTCCTCCCCATGTTTTCTGACTTTCTCAGGAGAACCTTGGCGTTTTTGTAAACGTTAGCGCCAAGCTTTTAGAAATTTTGTGTGGTTTTTTTTGGGCGGGGGAGTATTTTTACTCTTTACAACAACTTGCCACCCCAATTCGGAAACCTTGTCTAAATTGTGGATCTAGTACTCAGCCAATGATTCTTTTGGTCGTGACTGCATTTGCTGTGAAAATACTCTTTTCCTGGAAGAAACCGCACACCCTTCAGAGGCCAAGGACGCAGTGGCGTTTATTAGGATACATCAGAGGTAGGTTCACCGTAAAGCTAATGAGCGCAAGCTTCAGGGCTCCTCACTTACCATCCAAGACCTTGTACCTAATTTTGCATCTATTGTTTTGTATTCTTTTTCTTAAAGAACCCACACCCGCCCAAATTGTATAAGCTTTGGGGCCCCAACGCTGGAACCCTAGCCCCAGATGCAGTCTTAAAGCCCATGACCTATTAGACCTCATTCTCCTCTAAGGGCAAGGAGCCCCCAGTCTGGTTGATATTTTGTGCTTCTGAGGAACTTTTTCCCGGAGCGGGGGAGGTGGAGGATGCTGACGCTTTGAGCTTCCAAATGCTGAGGAGCCATTTCCTGTAACGCGTAGATGCGAAGAAGTAAATGACGGGGTCGATGCTGCAGTTCAAGTTCATGAGGCACACCGTGAGCTGAAGGCACAGTTTGAAAGCCCTCTGCTCGGGGCAGGTTGGCTGGTGGAGCACCTTTCTCACCATGAACTGGATGACATTGAAGTGGTAGGGGATGAAGCACACAAGCACGGCCACCAGCACCACCAGGGTGAGAAGGCAGGCCCTGCGGTGGTGCCCCTTCCTGCTTGTCAGAGGGTTGTCCCGGGCCATCCTGCACAGCTTCATGGTGATCCTCACATAGCGGAAGAGAATGATGCCCACCAGCCCGCAGAAACTCAGAGCGGAGATCACTAGGACCACGACGGGCAGCGTGAGCACCGGCTGGACGCTGTCATACTCCATGCAGGTCAGCCTGCTGGCCACGAGCTTGGTCATGGAGAGCAGGAGCAGGGGCGCCGTCTGCAGAGACGCCAGGACCCACACAGCCACACAGATGAGCCTGGCCGGCCGGGGTCTGCGGAGCGGGAGACACTGGTGGGTGTGGACCACAGCCACGTAACGGTCCACGCTCACACATGCCATCAGGTAGATCCCTGAATAAGTGTTCACGTAGAATATGAAGGCCGTCAGCCTGCAGAGCCCTTCACCGAAAGGCCAGCTGAAGTCCAGCACGTAGTAGGCGATCTTTCCGGGCAGGGCCAGGGTGAACAGGAGGTCGGACACTGCCAGGTGGACCAGGTAGACATTTGTTGAGTTGATCTTCTTGCCCTTTTGATAAGCAAGGTGAAGGGCAAGGATGTTTCCCAGGGTGCCGAAGACCAAGAGGGCTGTGTAGAACAAAGAGAGCATCACGCTGGCCACCGGGGTGGGTGGTGAGGAAGGCAGGAGTCGGCGTGGTGGACGAGGCTGTCTGGGTCAGCCGTGCAGGAAGCCACGTCATAGAGGTCCTTGGGGAGACAAAAAATTAAAATGTAATATTGTATCTGTGGGGTTACACCTCTATCGAGTAATACTTAATAATTTGCTGAAGCCACATGCCCATGAAAAGCATATATCTTTATTTTTTAATTTTATTGGATTATAGTTGATTTACAATGTTGTGTTAGTTTCAGGTGTGCAGCAAAGTGATTCAGTTACATATACATATACATATATTCATTCTTTTTTAGATTCTTTTCTCATATAGGTTATCACAGATTGAGTTCCCTGTGCTTTACAGTAGGCCCTGTTGGTTATGTCTTATATATAGTAGTGTGTGTATGTTCATCCCAGGCTCCTGATTTATCCCTTCCCCCAGTGTTTCCCCTTTGGTAACCATCAGTTTGTTTTCAATATCTGTAAGTCTGTTTCTGTTTTGTAAATGGATAAAGAAGATGTGGTACATACAAGCCTACCTCTTTTTAAGTAAATTTATGTGGAAGTGTGACATACCGTTCCACTCACTGTTGCTATGTAACAAATTACCCCCAGAATTTAGCAACTTAAAACACTTTATTATTTTCACGGTCAGGTTTTGAACAGGACACAGTGGGATTGGCTTTTCTCTGCTCCCCACTGTTGGGAGCCTCAGCTGGGAAGAATCGACAGCTGAGGGTTACTCAGTGGCAGGGGCTGGAACCATCCGGAGGTGATTTTACTCAAATGACGCTGACTTTTGGCCGAAGCCTCAACTGGACTGTCAGCTACAGCACCTGCACGAGGGTTCCTCGTGAGGCGGGGGCTTCCTTGCAACATGGTGGCCTGCAAGTACCTCAGTTTCTTACACAGTAGGTTGAGGCTCCAAAAGAAAGTGTCCCGGAAACTAGGTAGAATCTCCGTCTATTAACCATGTCTTTTATTTTCTATATTCTAGTGCTCTGACATGTTGGGGCCTGGCTGACCCTGGAGGGGCTGCCCTTCCCTGGGTTAACCAATCCCTTGAGTGTACTTTTCAAATGCAAACCAACCACTCCCACCATCTGCCCTAATCAACCCAGGGCCAGGTACCAGGGGCAGCCCCTGTGTCCCAGAGCCCCCTGAGATGATTCAAACAATCCTAAGCCTGCTGACCCTGCCTTGCCTGTTCCCTTCCACCGAAACCACAGTAAAGGCTCTTGCCCACATTTCTGCTCCTCTGGCTCTGTCTCCTGACCAACCCCAGCTCTCCCCCTGTGGCGCCCCGTGATGTGGCATGGCCCCTCTTCTTGGGGTCTGTAAGTAACAAGCTCTCTTTTTCAACAGCAATCATCCCCTGATCTGTTGGCCTTACTGACCCTCAGATTTTCTATGAACACACTGTACTCAAAAACACTGCATCAGCTTTTCTAAGCTGGCCTGGGAAGTGTGGTGTCATCATGTCCGCCTTCTGCTGTTACAAGTGAGTCACAAGCCCACCCAGAATCAAGAAGAGGAGACATAGCTCCCATCTCTCAATAGGAGGAAGGTCAAAGAATTTGCAGCCATTTACAAATCACAACACACATGCAAAAATGTGCACAAATCATAAAAGTAGAGCTTGACGATTTTCATAAAGTGAACACGTCTGTGTGATTAGACCCCAGATTCGGAGACACCTCACCAGCACCCCCAGAAGCTCTCCTTTGCCCCCCCAGCCTCTACCTCCACTCAAGGGTAATCAATATCCTAACTTCTAAAATCACAACTCAGTATGCCTGCTTCTGAACTTTAAGTAAATGAAATCATACGCCATGGGTATGTGTATTCTCACCCACAGAGCTTCTTTGGGTCAGCATTAGTTTGTGAGATTCACCCATGCTGTGGTGTAGTTGTGGTGTGGTCCTTCTCGTTGCTGTATGATAGTCCCTTGTGTGTATGCATCACCACCTGTTTACATCCATCCTACTGTTGGTGAACATTTCTGTTATATCAAGTTCAGCTATGCATGTTCTTTCACATGTCTTTGATGACACATAAATATCTATTTTGCTGAGTACTGTACATAGCTAGGAGTGGAGCTGGTGAATCACAGGTTCTGCACGTTTCGTTTTAGTAGATCCTGGCCATCACTTTCCCAAAGCAGCCGCTCTGCGTACTCCCAACAGCGTATGGGATTCCCATGGCACCTCATCCTCACCAGGCCTGGGCATGGTCAGTCTTTTTCAGGTGAACCAGTCTGGTGGGTGTGCAGGGGTATCTTCTTGTGGTTTCAATTGGCATTTGCCTAATGACTACTGACAGTGAGCACCTTTTCACAGGTTTACTGGCCATTTATATATCTTCTTTTTTTTTTAACGTGTTAGACATTATTACTATTATGATTACTGTTCTATTACTACTACCACTACTACTATCATTATCTTTTTCTTATTATTTTTAAAAATTTTTATTGGAGTGTGGTTGCTTTACAGTGTTGTGTTAGTTTCTGCTGTACAGCAAAGTGAATCAGTTATACGTATACATATGTCCCGTCTTTTTTGGATTTCCTTCCCATTTAGGTCACCACAAAGTGTTGAGTAGATTCCCTGTGCTCTACAGTAGGTTCTCATTAGTTATCTATTTTATACATAGTAGAGTATATACGTCAATCCCAATCTCCCAACACATCCCACCCCCACTTCCCCCCTTGGTATCCATAAGTTTGTTCTCTACATCTGTGTTTCTATTTCTGTTTTGCAGATAAGTTCATCCGTACCATTTTTCTAGATTCCAGATGTGGAGAAAAGGGAGCCCTCCTACACTGTTGATGGGAATGTAAATTGGTGCAGCCGCTATGGAGAACGGTATGGAGGTTCCTCAAAAAACTAAAAATAGGGCTACCATATGACCCAGCAACCCCACTACTGGGCATATACGTGGAGAAAACCAATGCTCTCTGTGCAGCAGGTGGAGGCTGAGTAACTGTCCCTGTGATGCACACGTGAGCACTGTGATTGCAGAGGGTGTGCAGTTTACCCAAGGGCCACAATAGCTCACGGGACCAGAGATCCAGGTGGAGGTGCTGAACTTCTGCGGTCACGTGCTGGCTTGAAGGGCACCAGCTCCGTGAGCCCCAAAACCTCACTTGAGTCAGGACACAGCTGTTCCCTCCTTTACCGATTTGGGGCTATAGCTAGTAGGGATCCTCCTGTAGATTATGCCTCATTGCAACCTATGCATATAGAGAGCTCTGTCTAGTCTCTACAGGTGGAGAAGGGGCCTCCATTCAAATGGAAAGTAAGAAAAGTCCATCTGAACAGTAGAGAGAGGAACACTGAAAAGTCCTTTGAACCTCAGGATGATGGATGGATGGATGGATGGATGGAGATGATATAGTGAGGATGATTAGATAGATAGATAGATGGTTAGATAGGTGGGTAGGTAAATAGATGGTAGATAGATAATAGATTAGATAGATATAGAGATGGTGACTAGATAGAAAGATAGAGATAGATGAATAGACAGCTAGATAGAGATAGGTAGTTACGCTCTCCCAGGGGTCCTGCCAGCTCTGAATCCAGAGGGAAGGCTCTTCTTATTCATCCCTTCACTGAACAGTCCGGTCCTCAGGTCGCACTGAGGTGGGAGCTGAGGGGATGGGCTCTGTGCCCCCAGCAGGGCGAGGAGGGTGTCTCAAGGGGCCAGTTTAGCTCAGGAGGGTCTCAGCCACAGGTCGACTCAGCCGCTGGAATCACTGGCCATCAGTCACAGAGCAGTGGTTTGATGCCTGTTGGAACTTTCTGTGTCCCTTTTCCTGTCTGTTCAGGACTCACTGGGCACAGGGGTGGGACTGGCTCCTAAGGAAACACCACCCTGAGCAAGTGTCCCCTGCTTCCTGACTTTCCTGGGCCTCTTCCCCAGGGCAAACCACACGCCGGCCCGCAGCCCAGGGCGCCGGGTACACCGCACAGCCCCAAGGCCCCACCAAGCGCCACTTCCTCCCCGAAACCTCCGGTCTCTGCAGCAGCCCCTGCACCTGGTGCTTGAGCATCTGAGGGCAACTCACAGGTACCTGCTCCCCGTGACTCACCCCTCAGCGCCTTAGCAACCTCTGTAACCCCGTGCCCCTTGGGCCTCTCCGAATCTTCTTCCTGTTTTGGTATTTGGCACAAAACAAGCTGTCTGGATGGTGGGTGATGCTGGGAGCCCCGTGGTCCCCCTTCCCAGGGCACCCACGGAGAAGTCACATCCACATCCCAAAGAGGGGCAGGCGGGTGCTGTCACATATGTGAGTCCGGGGAGATCAGACCCAAATGAGGAGCCGTCGAGAGAGGGGCCCTAACGCCTCAGACCCACCGCTCTGGCCTTCCTGCTTGTCGATGCGGGTGCAGACCTCCGCGTGAGCGTCCCTTCCCCAGCAGGAGCACTGACTGCCCAGTGGCTGACCGCTTGGTTGCTCTGTGCACCGTGGGCTCTGGCCCACACCTGCTGAAGGTGTGCTCCTTGGGCCCTTTCTGCCCCGCCCTCCCCGCCCCCCGGGTTCTCCCCCCACAAGCGCAAAGTATCCTATCTCTCCAACTCCATCCCATCTGCTCTTAGGAAATGACCCACTGTTGGTTTGTAGGGGAGCAGAATCTGCCACCCCAAAATACACGTGTTTGGCCTAAGGATTCTTTTGAGCTGGTTATTTTTAAGAAGGCACAGGCACAGAGGAAGCTCTGAAAGCCAAGTAGAAGTTGCCCTTTGTAAAAGACACTTATATTTGTAAGAGTGTCTCCCTTGTCGTACCAAGAAGAGGGGTAATGACTCAATCTGTAGACACTCTAGTCAATGCAGAAGGCAAGGACTTAAATCTGCAGAGTTACCTTACCCTTGTTTACTGTGCTTTATGCCACTCGCCTCTCATCTCTAGCTCCCCCACTCCTAACATCTTCTGTTGCCTTCAGCTGAGGAAAGCATTTAAGGTGATGGTTTCGCCCATTTTGGCGAGTTACTCAGTTTTCCTGGGTCTCTCCCACGTATACACGTTATTCAGCTTTTGTTTGTTTTTCTCCTGTTAATCTGTCTCTTGTCAATTTCGTGATGAGGCCAGCCAAAGAAGCCAGAAGGGAAGAAGGGACATGTCCCCTCCCCTACAGTCTTTTACGTCTTAATATGAAGCTACTGACGCATTTCCCACTCACAAGAGTATGTGCCTTTTGAGACTCACCCAGCTGTGACTGTGGAGGGCCAGGTGTGCCCCTGTTAGGGGTTATCAATTAGTGCAGCCATGTAGGGAAGAATGATCCAGAGAGCTTCCAGAAGGTTCTAAGTGTCTGCACACCAGGGTGTGATCCAGTGAAAGCAGCCCAGTTCTGTCAGCCGGTTTTGCTCCATGACATGAGACTGACACTGACCTTTGGTCCTCCTGGCCTGACGTGTCCTTCCGCCCGGTCAGGCATGGCAGGGGTCCTGGCTGGTGGCTGGGGTCGATAGGGATGCTCTACCTGTTCCCAACAGAAGCAGAAAGAGAGGGTGTGTGAAGAGCAGAACAATCTCTCTGAGCCCCAGCAAGGCACGTCCTTCCTGCGGTGCCTGAAAAGACTCACCTCTGGCCGACTTACCTCACTCACCGAGGGTGACGCCAGGGAGCCCGGCGGAGTCTCGTGCAGCGGCCAGCTGCCTTCCCAGGGGGCCCTGGAGCATCGAAGGCGCCCCGAGCACTCTCCCCTCTGCAGGAATTGAATCAGTGCACCGCACTAGCCTCCAGACTCTTCTTCCCTTCACCCACCCCTGCTGGAAAAGAAAAAAAAAAGAAAAGAAAGAAAGAAAGGGAAAAAAAAACACCCAGGGTATCAGCCAAGTTGATCTTCCTGCCACAGGACAAGCTCGCTCAGACACATGGCCTCCCACGCAGGCCTGTCTCCCACACCTCCCGAGAAGGAGGGAGTGGGGGGATGTTGCTCTAGGAAGCGGTTTCCCTTCTGTTCCATTTCTTTGCCCCCCACAGGCAGGGATTTAGGCCATAGATGTTACTCCCAAACCACCAGAGTCAGGAACTTCAAAAGCAGCCAGCATTCTCTCCCCCCCTCCCCTCCCCCCATGAGGGGGTGATGAGCGAAGTAAAGCAAGAAGTGCCGTCTGGGGACACTGCCAAGCTCAGGCTGGGGTTAGGGAAGCGAGGGGAGACTCAGCGTGGCTCGGGATTCCCTGGGTTTGTGATCCAGGCGAGGTGCTCTAACGGAGCCCGAAAGCCCACATGCAGCTCTGCTGGGCCGCACTCCCAAGGGCTGCACTTGGCAGTGGCTGGACGGCAGATGAAACCAGGGTGTTCCCCAGCCACCCCTTCTCCCCGCGCCCCCCTCGTTTCCCTGCCACACAGCTGGCGAATCAGTGAGGCATCAGACCCACCCCCGGATCAGGGCTGTAACGCTGCCAAGTTGCTGCCCCAGGGATGTGAGCGTGAGCTTCTTTCTGAGCGTTCTCTGCACGTGGAAGGAAGGCGCTTCAGTCAGCAGCCGGCTCTCCAGCCCGGCCTTGGACCCCAGCCCCACCCCCGAGCTCTGTGTCTCTGGCGTGACATCCCTCACGCCTCGGTTCCCCGCCACCCCTCCCCTGTCTAGAATTTGGGTCAACACGCCCCCCTAACTGACCTCCCACTGATGAAGGCCATGGGACCCCATTTTTCCCTCGTGTAGATTGGTCCCTAAAAGATGTCCCCCAAAGCTCCAGATCAGTTGGAGAGAAGTTTGGTAAAGAAGCCCTGTCTTACCTGCACCTTTTACCATAAACTTCCCTACCACGGCCCAGAAGGAAGAACTAATGCAGTTTCCAGAGGTGCCTGACTTACACACAGATGGCAAACCCCAGGAGAACCTTCCTTCGTGTCCTCAAGACATTTAGGGCTCTCCCACTAAAAGGGCAGACTAGCAGGCCTACGAAGGGCAAAAAACTGTGGAATACCCTCACCCCACACTGTTCACTCATGGGTCGTTCAACAAGCATTTACTGAGCACCAGCTTCGAGCCAGGAACACGTACGTACCTGTGTGTGCTGGGAGGGGAAACTTTTCCTCTGCCCTTCTGGGTTTAGTGGCTGCAGTTGTGTCAGTTAATTGGACAAGAGACTAACGAACAGGATGAACAAACAGGAGAAAGGCGCACACATTTTATCTGACGTTAACAATTTTACTCTGACTTGGCCCGGGAGGCTTCACAGAAAAGAAGTGAGGAACCAAAGTGGATAGGAATAAGTTTATACAGCATTTTAACAAAGAGCAGTAGGGCTTCCCTGGTGGCACAGTGGTTAAGAATCCACCTGCCAGTGCCAGGGACACGGGTTCGATCCCTGGTCCAGGAAGACCCCACATGACCCGGAGCAACTAAGCCCGTGTGCCACAATTACTGAGCCCATGAGCCACAACTACTGAGCCCGCATGCCACAACTAGTGAAGCCCGTGCACCTAGAGCCCGTGCTCCACAACAAGAGAAGCCACCGCAATGAGAAGCCCACACACTGCAACGAAGAGTAGCCCCCGCTCGCCACAACTAGAGAAAGCCCGCGTGCAGTAAGGAAGACCCAACGCAGCCATAAATAAATAAATAAATAATTCGTTTAAAAAAAAAACAAAACAAAGAGCGGTAAGTGGTGGAAACTAACAAGAGAGAGGAAAGCAGGGAGGGGGTGTGGGGATGCCGTAATAGATGGGGAAAGGAGTAGAAGATTGAGGGCTGTCTAGTAACGTTTATCATGCACCTTCCTCTCTTGGCTCTGGGCTAAGAGTCTCGAGTCCTCTCAGATGATTAAGAGTTGCTGTCTTCCTGGTAAGGAGGGTGAAATGCCTTTACAAATGGAAATTTCTATCCTGCTTTTAGCCAAATAGGAAGAAGGCAGAGATATTTTTTCCTTCTCTTTCTGCTATTTTTCTTAGTTGCCTTCAGCTCAAAATAATCCTTATGCCAAAGAGGCACATGTGGGTGGCATATTCTGGTCCCCTTCGTGTGTACACATGACTGAAAAGTACATGGTGGGCTCTCCTTGTGTTCATAGAAACACATCGCTCAGTCCCCTAGCACGTGCTTGGCCTGGAACCTAGCGGATCCCTTACAAAGTTGCCATCTCTCCTGCCCTTTTATGATCTTGTCCAGTGTAAGTAGCAGCCCTCACTGGCCGCTATCCTGTGCTTACCACCTATACTATGCATGGGATTTCACGCTCTCAGGGGCTGTTCTCCAGTCATTTCTTGGGCAGGGGTGTTTCATTTCAACCAGCTGTTGAGTTCCTCAGCGGTAGGAAGTGCAGCGGCTCTTTTATCTACAGGGGCTGCTACAGTGGAAGGTGTGGGAGACATCGCCTAGTCCCTGGGAGGCCAGGATTCAGGAGGCCTGTGAACCTGGGTGGGAGAACAATTACCTCTTTATTTTCACTAGGCTCTAACTGCAACCTGGCAGCCTAGGCCCTGGCAGCCGGTCACAGTGGAATGAAGTGTACCTGTGACTCTGTCACTGACAGAAATCATGACTCTCTTCATAGCCCATTACAGGTGATTCAAGTTTCATACATTTTAAACCATCACCCTGAGGAAGGTCCTTAGTTTCACCTGAAGGGTCCATGGCACAAGAAAAGGTAGAGAACCCTTGATCTAGTCTGACATTTTTGTCTTCCAAGTAGAGAAACTGACACATGGGATTTTTTTTTTTCCCCAAAGCCTCCTGGCTTTCTCCAGCGAGACGGGACCAGAACCCTCAGCTCCTGGTTCCTTTTCAGGGCTCCTCTCACAATGCAGAGCCCTTTAATCCCTACACCCACCTCCTCTCAGCCCCAAACACATGATGACTCAGCAAATACTGTCCCTCAAAGGCTAGGATTTGGACCTATGGTACGACTCCCTGACCCACTGACTGTCCTGATTCCTTCTCAAGGTGGCTTGACAACTTCCTTCCTTGTAATCTATAATATTTGTCATCTTCCACCTGGCCCAGAAAATCAATAGCAATGACAGTAATAGTAGTGGCACCCTTGATTGAGGACTTACTCTCTGTCGCTCTTAACTATTATATATTTATTTATACCTCAGTTCATCGACAAAGAAGCACTATTAGTCCCATTTTACAGATGAGGAAAATGAGGCTCAGAGAAGTTAAGTGATTTGTCTAAGGCCACACAGCAAATTTCATCAAAGATCCAGGTGCTTCTTCTGATAGGTTCAATTTCAAGGAGGTTGCAGCTGGGGCTGGAGGTTAAGGAGGTGGCCAAGGGATAGTATCACCCAGATATGAAGTACACAAAGGACTCGGTGCTGCTGTTTCTGGGGCGGGTGGAGCCACTGCAGCTGTGGCTGGTGATGTCTGAGCTTGGCAACCGCCCTGGGTGTTACCCTTAAAGCAGCTTCACAGGGCATTGATTTCTGATGTGATCTCTGCCTGCCCAAGGGAAGCAGGGGTGCACCCCTATCTCATCTCTGTGGTTTGCTCGTCTCTGTTCCATGAGCATCTTCAGCCCCAAGCATAAGCAGAGAGGCACCACGTGGCTTAGTTCTGGGTACAGCCACTGCTGGGGGAGGGGAGCGGGGGTCTGTAAAACTAATGCCTTTTATCCTTTTTTTTTTTTTTTTTTTTTGTGGTACGTGGGCCTCTTATTGTTGTGGCCTCTCCTGTTGCGGAGCACAGGCTCAGCGGCCATGGCTCACGGGCCCAGCCGCTCCGCGGCTTGTGGGATCCTCCCGGACCGGATCACGAACCCGCATCCCCTGCATCGGCAGGCGGACTCCCAACCACTGCGCCACCAGGGAAGCCCCCTTTTTTTTTTTTTTTTAATGATGGAGGAGGAGAAGGATTGGGGGTGGTTACAGATGTATTTGTTTCTTCCTCCTTTTTAAAATCCATTTAATCCTTGATAGACTTCTAGACACTTGAGTAACCTATTTATTCCCGCAGGTGGAGTGAATGTCTACATTATGCTGAACTTCCAGAACCAGCTAGAGATACAACAGCGACAGAGTCCTTCCTTCTGGTGAAGTGGACAGATGAACAGGCAGGCAACCTCTATGGAGAGACAGACACAGCTGAGAGTGAGCTCAGGGCTCTAAGGGACCACCCGAGGGGATGCTTGTCCTGGTCCCGAGTAGTCAGGGAGGCTTCCCAGAGATGAATGGTGAGGATGTGGGAGAAAACTTTCCTCTGCCTTTCTAGGTTCTTCTGGCTGGTCTAAGAATTAAATTGACATGAGACAGATTAACAGGAGAAAATCACATTTAGTTTCATATATACAGGAACCCCACATACAGGAGAAGGTCAGAGACCCACACATACATGAGAGGGTCAGAGACAGAAAGGTAAGATGAGGTCTGTATGCCATCCTGAGCTGAGGAATGCCATCAGGACCTGGGGTTTCCAAGGACGGGAGGGTCATTCATGTGGGGATAAGAAGAAGAGCGGACGTTGGGTAATTAGATGCGCTTTCCCTGACATACAGATAGGGCCACTTTGGTAAAAGGTAACTCTGGTAGCAACTCTTTTTCTGGGAAAAATCCACAATTGAAATTCTTCTAAGTAGTTAGGGGAGGGGCAGTAATTTCTCTAGAACCCGCAGGGTATCGATTGCCTTTAGCTCAAAATAATCCTCATGCAAAAGTGACACATTTTGGGGCGGGGGGTTCATTATGAACCCCTACGAAATGCACCCATGTACCAGCAACTAGATAAAAAGCCCAGAAGAGTCTATGCACCCCAGCAGCCCCATCCAGTCACTGCCTCCCAAGGTTACTATGTTAGTGATGATACTAGATTATTTTTGCCTGGTTTTGAACTTGATATGAATAGAATCACACGGAATGTGTTCTTCCAGCTCTGGCTTCTTTTGCTCAACAGTATTTTGGTGCAACTCATCCATACTGTTAATAGCTGTAGTTCATTCACTCCCATTGCTGTCTTTATTCCTTTGCTGGGATAGATCACTACTTATTTATTCATTTTCCTGCTGGTGAACATCTGAGTTGTATCCAGCTGAGGCTGTTACAAATAGTGTGCTACAGACATTCCTGAGCACATCTTTGGGTGAACATATGCACTCATTTCCTTTGGGATATGCCCAGGGCAGAATTTCTGGGCCACAGAGTATGCATGGGTGCAGTTTTAGTTGATGCCATACTTAGTTGATATTTAAAAGAGAAAAAGAGAGGAAGGGAGAAAACATTTTTAATTATCTGAAAAAAAAATTAAGCTTAATGAACGTTTTATCAAAGAGGCACTTTTCCTCTGTGACTGCACAATTAGAATTTAAAAATAATAATTGGAGGAGAAGTCAGGGATTGTGTAGTCCAATATTTTTCAGGCATTGTAAAATTCACACTGGGTTTTTCAATTTTTTTATTATGGTAAATATACATAACATAAAATTTACTATTTTAACCATTTATAGTAAGTTTTGAAATTATTTTAGTTGGTCATGATCAAAATTTTTTTTTAAATGGAACAGAATAAAAAAAAACCGTCACAATAAACATAAATACTATTGAATATTTCATGGGACTTTTGTTATGGGTGTGTGTGCTCTGGGTCAAAAAAGCTTGTAAAACACGGGTCTAGTCCAACTTTTAAATTTACAGAGTGGAAGGTACACTCAGAGATGTAAGTGATGTTTCTAAACACAGTTTGAACTAGACCGTGACATCCTGGCTTCCAGTTCAGTGTACTTTCCAACTTCCATCTCACCACCTGAGATCACTGCCGCTGATCTTGTCAAAGTTACAGGCTAGATGGGGCTGTGTGTTTGTGGCCCCGTACTTTACCCACGAGAAAGGAGGTCAAGTCCCCTGACCCTTGAGTTGGTCCCCAGGAGGCTGCCAGAGCCAGGACCCAACAACCAGCACCTTCTGAACCATTAAAACTCGGGGCACCCGTTTGACCCTTTCTACTTTAGGGTCAACCAGGAATAGTACAAACCTAGAAACTTGAAGAGTGGGGAAAGGACCTGTGGTTTGACATTTTTCAGAATGTTTTTTCTCTTCTGTGTGTGTTTCAAGGACACCTTTCAAGTGCAGAGTTCTGGAGAGGAAGCGCTATAAATAGAAGGGGCCTCGAGGTGGGGGGAGGGGAAGGGAGGGCTGGGGGAGGAGGAAGTGCGTCCCCAAATCTAGGGCCCTGGCAGGGCTTTTCAGAGGGCCCTTCCTCACCATCAAAACCAGGGCTGGCGCCAAGTGCGCTGGCCTGGGTCCCCACGTTCCAGCTCCAGACAATCCCCACCACCACGTCCACCAAGACAGCCCCTGGGAGGAAAGGGATCCATCTCACCTCGGACCTAAGGTCCCGGGGCCACTCGGCTCAAAAGGGCTCCCAAGTCATTCGCCCCTCACCCATCAGCGGTGTTATAACATCATTTGGGTGTGTCTCACCCTAGTCAAACCTCAGCAGTGCCTTCCCAAGGTCTTAGAATAAACCCCGCCCCCAGCCCACCGACGGCAGATTCATCATTTTTGACCAGGTAGACGCAGCAGGAGGGGAGAGGGTGGAGAGCAGGTGACGTGAGGCTGTATTTGCACGGCATCCCCTGTTTTTCCGGGGAGTGTATCTCTCCTCGGGGGCCTGGCTTTGGTGGGAAGAAGCGGAAAGGCCGTGGAGGTTGTTGGGGGAGGGGCTAGATTCCCCCTCCCCCCCAATCACTGACCGCCTTTCACTCCTCCCAGGTGCACCTCCTCACCCAGGGCCTTCTCTCTGCTCCTCACCTGGAGCTCCTCTCAGCCTTCCAGCCTCCACCTCAGTATCACCTTGTTGGGCCAAGTGCTCTTCAAGGACCCTCTAAATTAGAACCTCTTGTTGCCCAATGGGCCCTTCCTTCCAACACCTTATTTGTGTGTCAGCGTTTGATTTGTGTGATTATTAGGTTAATATCTCCCCCAACAAACTGTGAACTCTGAAGACAGGTCCAGGATGGCTTTGCTCACTGCTGTGTGCCCACCTCCTAGCTCAGTGTCTGCACAGGAGATGGTGCCCAATACAATACAAGTGGGAAGAGGGAGGGTGGAGGGAGGGGAGGAGGTAGGAGAGATGGGAGGGGAAGGGGAAGGAGAGGAGAGCAGAGGGGATGCCAGGAGAAGATGGAGGGGAGGGGAGGGGAGGGGAGGGGGAGGGGACCAGTTATCATTAAGAACTGAGCAGCTCTCTCCCTCTGTCACTCCCTGAAAACGGGTTTACAGTTTCCTCTGTTCTAACCAGTCAGCGCGGGAGCCAGTGAGTGGTGTGCCCTCAGGTTCCCGCTGCCCTCGGAGAACAAGCCTCACGGGCTTCACAGGGGCACCTGACACTCCGCCAGAGGCCAGTCGGGCAGCTGTGCGAACCTGGTGGAGATGCAGAGCCCGCCGCCCTCGGCGGGAGCCCTGTCAAAGGTTAGAGGTTAGGAGAGGACCTCCGCCAAGGTGACTGGGCACAGAGAGAGACCCCAGGGCACAGTGTAAAAAGGTGGGTGGGTCCAGTGAGACCTAGGGCTTTGGTTTGGCTGAGAGGGGTGTGTGATTTGGGAGCCAAGGCTGAGCTGTTTGAGATGCTAAACTGCACCCTCCCCTGAAGCAGCCATGGAACCCCAGCTGTCTAACATTCTCCAAGAACATCCATTTGAAAGAGGGCTTAATTCTACTCAGTCTGGTGCACTCTACGGAAGTATGATCTGTATACCATGAAAGTGCGATTCAATGGTATTTAGTAAATTTAGAGTTGGGCAACCATCACCACAATCCAGTTTCGGAACATCCCTACTACACCTGTAAAAAATTAATGAGCAGAAACCTCGATTAAATAGTCAGAAGGGGGAGCTGTCATGTCCTGTGGCCATAGCAGAGCCCAACAGGAAGGAAACAGACTCCTCTTCTTTCCTGGCAAGGACTCAGCCAATGAAAAGCCATGGACTCTGTTTACAACAGCAGCCCTCCAAGCTTCCTCTTCCCCTCTATAAAAGAGTTCTCCTTCCCTTGCTGTGTGGAGACTTGCACGTGGCTCGCCATGGCTGCAGATGCCGAAGTGTAATTCTCTGCTGATCCCAGATAAACCCATCTTTGCCAGAGAAATTTCTGGCAGTTGGTTTGTTTCAAGTCAGCACCTCCAGGAGATCCCTTGTGTCTGTTTATGGTCACTGCCCCCCATTACAGCCCAGACCGGCCAACCTCTAATCTGCTCTCTCTGCATATGTTTTTGCCTTTTCTGGATGCTTCATGTAAATGGAATCATCCAATACATGGCCTTTGGCATCCGGCGCCTTTCACTGAGCATAATGATTTTGAGGTTCATGTGTGGCATGCATGTTTCAGCAGTTTGTTTCTTTTTGTTGCTGAATAGTCTTCCTGGGTCTTGGTTTCTTATTAATGGAGGGGAAAGATATTTTTAGTCGTACGGAAACCATGCCTTCCTCCAAGGACCCAAATGAATGAGAGGTTGGTCCGGGTGAGGCTTCTGTGCCTAGGAGACAGAGAGAATGTCCCATCATGGTGATGGAGACGCAGAAAGATTCTCTGGATGGAAAAAGTTAAAACACATCTCAATGGGATAGAGTGATGAGCAGAAACCAGTTAGGTCAAATGTCAAAAAAGCCTCTCCTTTGGTTTCAAATATCACTGGCATAAGTGAGAAGTGCCAGACTAGATAACACCTTGAGGGCTGTAACAGGAGAACAGAGGAGCCCTGAATTCAGAGAGATGGCCCAAGGTCAGGGCCACCCCCGGACCAAAGAAATGGGAATCCCCTGGTGCAGATTAGGGTCAGGAGCTTGTCAGTCCTCACACGTGATTCCAATGTACAGCCAAGGTCAAAGTCAAGGATGACTGTGCTAAAGGTTACGGGACACCCAAAGTAACCGACTGCTGTACCAGAATGGAGGGTCTCAGGTGGAATCCCGGTGTTCCCTTAACAGCCCCACGCAGACCTCCTCTTCTGGAAGGCCAGCAGGAGGCCTTGTAACTATCGTCCTCACCTCCTCCACCGATGCTCTAATGCTGGCTCCACAGAGAAGACCTGGTAGGTGCATAGACAAGACCAGCTTGTCACAGGACTGAGAAAACTGGTTCTTCCTACTTTATTAAAGAAAAAAAAAAAATCCCAAGTATTACCTGAATACATTCTCATAGAAAATTCGTAAAGGACAGTTCCCCTAGGACAACAACAGTCTGATATGCATACTTGTAAACACTTTTCCATGCATTTACCTCTCTAGGTAATATACAACTACATAGCTTTTATTTTGCCTATAAACAAATGAGATTATGCTTGAGGAATTATGTGAAAACTTGCTTCTCAATATATCACCAAGATCATTGCACATCAGAACGCACAGCTCTGATTCGTCTCTGAAACAGCTGCAAAATGGGAGGTGACTTTCCTCACTGAACCATGGGTTTTATCCTACATCGCTCTCAACGTTGCTCACTTCTGCAAACGTCATTTCTGTGAGCCTCCTTGTACATATGTACCCAGGCACATGTCTACACGTTTTGGTACTAGGACAGATTCTTAGAAGTGGAATGAGGGGGAGTTCTGGACTCTGCATTCAGCTTTGTTCATTTATTTGCCTGTAGAGCTACAGTGACTGTAACAGGAGAGTCAGTGGTTTCATTCTTGGTTATATTATGGATTCTGTTGCTCTTCGGAGTAGGTTCCCTTTCCCCTTACCTTTTCTAATTAGTTAGAGTTAGTGATTAAGAAAACCATAGATTTTTAATTGTGGTAAAACACATAAAAGGTGAAAATTGACCTTTTTCACCCTTTTTAAGTGAGTGGTTCTGTGGCATTAAGTACATTCACATTGTTGGGCAACCGTCATCACCATCCAGCTCCAGAATTTTCTCATCTTCCCCAACAGAAACTCTATACCCATTAGACACTTACACCTCAGTTCCCCCTACTTCCAGCCCTCAGCAACCACTGTTGTACTTTTTATCTTTATGAATTTGATCTAGGAACCTCACACAATATTTGTCCTTTTGTGTTTGGCTTCTCTCACTTAACATAATGTCTCCAAGTTTCGTCCACAGTGTAGCACTCCACTGCGTTTTATGGCTGAATAATAGTCCACTGTACATGCATGTCACATTTGTTTTATCCAGTCATCTGTCAGTGGACACTTGGGTTGCTTCACCCTTTTGGCTACTGTGAATACTGCTGCTGTGAAGAGTAGGAACCCTCAGTGTACAAACATCTGTTTGAGTCTCTGCTTTCACTTCTTTGGATATATATCCAGAATTTGAATTTGAACTCCTTGTTTAATTTTTTGTGGAATCATCACACCATTTTCCACAGTGTCTGTACCATTTTGCAGTCCCGCCAGCAATGCACAGGGAGCCAATTTCTCCACATCCTCACCAGTACTTGTTATATTCTATCGTTTTTTAAAAGCATCCACACAAATGGATGTGAAAGCCATTGATCTGTGTATGTTGGTCTTGCGTCCAGCCACCTCCCCAAATTCTCCCATTAGTTTTTCATTCGGGGTCTTGGATTCTCTAGGTAGTTCATCACATCACCTGCAATAGTGACAATATTTTTCTTCTCATTTTAGATTCAGGCCCTTTTGTCTTATTTTCCTACATTGTCAAGGATCCACATTACAAGGTTGAAGAGAAGCGGTGATAGCAGGTACCCCTTCTTTCTAGTGTTTTACTATTACATGTCATGATTTGTGCAAACTTCTGGTAGACCCTGGTTAGGGTTAGGAATGTGGCCTCTGTGCCTGCGTTGCTAAGAGTTTATCAACAATATCCAGCTTGTCAAATGTTTTTGGAGTGTCTACTGAAATAACTATGCCTCAATTCTGTGAATTACACTGATAGGTTCCCTAATAATAACCCGTTCCTGTATTTGTTGGATAAACCTACTTGTCATGAAGTATTTGTGTTTAATGTAGAGACTGAGATATAGAAGATCACCCCAAATGAACAGGAGGCCAATGGCTAATGAAACAGAAGAGATAGTGACGGATACGGATCGTATCCTTGTTCCAAGAAGGGCACATCAGTGGGGGAAAATCCCAAAGGAGCAAGATTCTTCAAAGAACCTTTGACCCTGTTGTAATACGATGAAGAAAATTGTATTC